ATGGTTGTTTAGTTTATAATATTATATATAATCTTGATAAAATATATTTTTTCAATTCCTCATCATTCCCTACGTGCCTTTGTAAAGTTATCTCATTGCAGTTATATTAGAATAACATGATAAAATATATGCGTCAGTATGTTTTGTAAGGCCACTGATTAACTCAGGAGTATCATAAAATTATTTCGCGGAAGGCGATAAGAATAATATACGGTGAGCTTTTGTGAAACAATAAATTAACTCTTGAACTGTTGCGATAATTCGTAACTTTTTAATATGCTTAATTTAACCATTATTTAAAGTTATGTTTACAGCCCTTTAGATTTTTCTTTCCAAAGGAAAGAAAAAGATTGATTTAAACTTTAAACCAAAGAAAGATAAAATATGCATCATTCGGACGATAATTAAAGATTTTTATATTTTCTTTCAAAAATCATATATATTGCATATAACTGTCTTTATCTCAGAGATGTGCATATCCGAGATAATTGTTAATTTATTCAATACTTACCACTATAATGCGATTCGGCATATTTTTACGTTTCATCTCTCAAATAACGACAAAATGTGCACATATATGATTTAATCTTTACAAAACACAAATTTTTATTCTTAAACCAAACCACCAATACTATCTTAATATTTTTAACTTCTATAGAAGTAAAATTATATATATCGCTTTTTCAAGATATATTTTTATGCATTCTATATATCCCGCATTTGCTATTGCGTATTTTTTATTAATATTAATATTAAAATATTGCTATAGGATAAAATTCTTGGATTTAATTATTAAAGAGAAAGAAAATATACATTTTGAAGCTGTATCAATTCATAATCAATTCAGTTAATTTGATATTCAGTTTGTTGATTAATATTTATCACGTTTCTAACAGAAATATATATTATTTTAGCCAATACACATATTGCACTTTGTTTTATTGTTCAATTTTTTATTAATTTCCTCAACTTATATAGTTTTGTTTTTTTGGGTTGTATTAATTAATTATATAAATTAATAGTAGCAAAGTCCCGTTTACTATTTTATTTTCACGATTTAGCACGTAGGTGTATAAGTAGTATTTTCATATTTCTAACTACAGTTCGTTATAATTACAGGCGCCCTGGGGTGATAGGTCTGTCGTATTACTTTTATAAATTTTCGTCTGTTAATACTTACAACATTAAATATATCGGAAAACGTACAAATCTTCGTCTCTTTATAATAAAATATCAACAATTTACAATATTGCCATCAATAGTAATTATATACGATATTAGAGGATAACTTTTCACTTGCTAAAAGAAAAAAGAAATCATATAATAAACGCATAAAAAATCCGCAAAAACGATATTCTCTAATAAACAAATAATCGCATTCCTATAAATTAAAATCGCGTTCTTATGGTAAAAATTATTTATATATTAAAATATTTTAGCACACATATTGTAGGAGCAACTATTGTAATACGACAGACCATCAGCTCGGATCTATATATATGTGATATAAACAAAATCCACTTCGCATTTAAGCTATATAATGAATGTTATTAAACAGATTTTAATATTTTCAATAAAATTTATCGAATATCCTATGAGAGAGACATACCCATACAATTAAACATACTTTTTAATTTACTTACTCTTTTTAGCTTACTTTCTTCACCTTCATTATCCACTGAGTGTACACGTGCAATAATATAATTATAATTAAAATAATTAAAATAACAATATAAAATAATAATAATAGCAATCGTACTGATAGTAATAGTGATAATTGCAGCAGCAGCAGCAATAGCAGGTGATAGTGTGGAAGTAGTAATAATAGTATCTTGAATAATAATAATAAAATAACCGTAATAGACAAATAATATATATAGTCGTAATTACAATAACAGCGATAGTACTAACAAGAGCGACAATAATAATAGTAAATAATAACGATAGAAATAATAGTATTAATAATAACATATTATAACTAATACAATAACAATAATAGTAACAATAATAATATTACAACAAATGATAGTAATAGCAGTAATAGGAACAATAGAGTATACAAAGTAGTAATATAAATTGTACAATGATAAAATAACGGTGATCACACATCCAGCAACAATAGCAATGGTAATAGTTCTGATAACAATTATTTTTTCATAATATACTTATATGTAATGATAATATATTAGATAAAAAAGCAAAAGGCCATAAAAAAAACAAAAATAATGATAATAAAAGAATAACGATAAAAATCACATAAAAATTCTATTTCAAAAGTAAAAAGAATAGTTTGTGATACAATTATTTCTCAATACTATTACTGCTGCTGTGAATATATGCTATTACTACCACTATTACTAGCATTGTGTGCAAAGTTACTATTATCATTATTATTATTAATACTATCATTATATATCGCGTTTACTGCAAACACCAACTATCACCACTGTTACTTCTATTCTCCTATACTACTGTTACAATGCTGCTGATGATCAAAGTGGTAATAGAGCCATCGCGATAATATTTATGATAAAGAAATTGATTCTTCAGTATTCATATATCATGCTCTAGTATGATCAAAAATTATATTTATAATATAAATGTATTTTTAAGGATTCAAATACATTTGAAATTTTGCTTTCCAGACAAAATTTCAACGTGTTTATATAAAAACATTTGAGGGAATCTCATATGTACATAATTAGCGATAGAAAATCAATAATTAGGGATAAATTACATTAGAGCACGCCATAAGAGTACTAGAGAATTAAGACAACATAAGAGAGAAATATTTACTACTATTTTTTTCGTGATTCCAATATTTTTTTTAATATTGTATACATTTGCCCCCGTATTACTTGGCGAGATTTCACGAAGTACTTATTTCTTTGCAACACGAGAGGAATTGTGTAGCCTCATTTCTAATTCAAGTGTTGCGGCTTCGCCATTATGTCGATTTACATATTACACATTCATCTTTTAAGTTTCTTTTTAAATTCCCACAATGCTTTAGAGAAAAGATGTTCGGGATAAAAAGGAGTAAAACTGCAATCTTCGTCCTCTTTCTTAATCAATATTTTCTAAATTCATTGTGAAGTGTTAATTTTTTTAACAAGTCTACATGTGAAGAGAGTGTTTTCTCTTTCTCTAATACATGTTTCACTATTCATACAGACATATCACGAATACGACATGAAAAATTCTCAGAGTTCAAGAATAGTGGTCGTCGGCACGACTGGCAGTATATTTTGCTTTTGTTGAAAATTAACATCCTATCTGTCTCAACGCCTTAGATTTCTTACGAAAACCAGGCGAAATGGGCATGGCCACACTGTCTCTTTGCTGAATAAATCTGGCAACGACGGGCTCCTGTGAATACTACTATTTATTTTTCATGAGCTTTATCTTTATAACAAAGCTTTAACTGCAACGAAAGCAGAGAATATACAATCCTTTTTTTTTCATACGTTGCGATAGTAGTTTAGGTTGCGGTTCGCTTGATCCAACATAATCTTTCTAAACGTGAAAAGACTCGACGTAATCCACCATATCCAGCTTTTCACGCTTCACAAGCAGTATCTTATATATCTAATGATTGAAACTCGTTGTGAGTAAAGCCAGATCATGATGATTTGTGCGATACCTATCAACAACGGTTCCCTATTCCGCACAAGTTTCGCCATGATCTCGCATCATCGACAAATATACATATAGAGCTTTTCCTTGTCGCGATACATAGAGGCGACATATGCATAGATCCGATCCATGGATACACAATCATAATCGATAAGTAAATCTATTTCTTATTGTTTGAATAAACGAAGGACTTTATTACCGCCGTTTGTTTCAGTTCTTTCAATGCTACATACGAGATTGCAATAATTATAACTTTCCTTCGCTAATTGCTTTTTTCCTTTCTTTCAATTTCTCTTTCTCTCTCTCTTTCGCTTCATCTCTTTATCTCTATATGATCAAGAAAACCTGTATCAGGCGTTTTAAGATTCATTATCATTTGTCATAGATTGATCCGGGTACAGAGATATATCTATATATATATATACTTAAATATACATATATATATATAAAGTCTATTCTTTTTAACTCTTTTTTATCTCTCTTCCCGCAGATACAATCTCATGAATTCTTAACACATAATGATACAGAATATTTTGTTATCCGACTCGCATCTGTGATCGATTAGCTAACATTTCACTCGACGACGACATATTTCTTCTTGAGTCAAATATTTAAACGTACAGGACATTTTAAATGTGTCACTTTTTCCAAGCTTTTTGTAGCAGTATCAATCAGCGCTCGTGATTAACTCTTTGCCATTCTTATAAATATATATATATATTCAGTATTATATTTAATAATGGAAATGCTTAATATAAACGTCTTTTCGAATGCATAAAGACGAAAAGTTTATGTTGTTAAAACTAAAGAACGGATAGAAGTGCGTATAAATAATGTTATTTTCCTACAAGTTTCCTTCTTTCGATATAGCACAAAAATCAGATTTTTAATTCATCTATTTAACTGCTATAGTCGATTATATAAGCACGTGATTTCGTAGATAAACGAATTTCATTGTGACACTGCGTGCTCTTTTTCTCATGATATAAAAAAGCACGTCAATCTTTGCCCTTATTTTTTTCGACGAAATTATATCAAAGGTTTAACCAAAGAAAGATGTTTTTCCACACAAATGGAAGAGCAAGTATGTTCACCTTCACATAATAATAAATATTCACGTATTTCACTCGTTTTGCTGATTCACTTCCTCCTTATTGTTATCACTATCTTGTTGATTCACATTGGACTTGTTACCTACAGGCTGTGTTCCAGAGGGGCCATCATTCAACTTGTCATTATGATTATCAGCTTTGTCATTTGAATCCATCTTAACATTTCCTAAAGAAATAAAGTACAATTGTTAATTAAATATTATTCATATAGTTATATAATTTCTGTACGCATATCTGTGTGTGCGCTTTACAAACCTTGCGATGAATAATATTGCTGTTGCATCTTCATGTTACGTTGCTGCTGCTGCTGCTGCTGGTGTAAATTTGGTCTGTGACGGTTAATTTGAGCTTGTTGCTGCTGTTGCGTTGGCATACAAGCAGGTTGCTGCTGTGTGGGGTTATTCGGATTTGGACCTGGTGCAAATGGTACTACAGGTCGCTGTATCGGAGGCGGATAACGTTGTTGCGATGGTTGGATACCAGCACGAGGCGGCATACCCATTCCACGTACATTCTGTTGCAAAACCTGCTCGTTTATATGTAAAAGTAAAAATTGCAGAATATATATTATTATATCATTTTTCAAGTATAACCAGATGTTTTAAATGTACATATTCTTTATTGTAGTATTAGATTATACTTAAAAATTCTTTTATAAGAAAACAATTTGTCCTTATATATATTATATATTTACGCGCGCCCATATATAATTCTTATTTCTTTACTGACAGAAAATAATTTCTATACATATGTTTAATTTAACTTGATAAGAGAAAAATATAGAGAGAAAAAGATGCATGCATAATATATAAATGATAATTTTAATGAATAAATGGTACATACGTAGTTATTGTAGCTGCTTACCAGAGCAGACTGGCTAACGCCCTGATATTGTTGATATTTGTGATGCTGTGTAGGACTTGGCTGTGGCTGTTGCGACGAAGATTGTTGTTTGCAATTTCTCGATTTAGGTGACGGTATTTGAGAAGCTAGAATTAGAATATTGACTTAATGCAATTTGACAGAAAACTCATTACCGAATAATCATTAAATTTTTTCAAAGAAACAATTATGAATTTATCCGATAATTTTGATACTTTAGAAAAGAAACTTTTGAAAGATGCATCTAAAGTATAAAATTATAAAAATTCATTTTTTTGTATCAAATAAAGCTATTTGTGATAAAACCATTTTTTGTTGATTATTTTTTAAATTGACGAACGATTGAATAATGAGCTTACTCGAGCCAAAAACTGATGCAAGTACATCTTGTTGATTTCCCGACGGGCTCTTCAATTGTCTGGGTTGCTCCTGTGGTTGATGCTTACTAAGAAATGTGGGCGCCGCATTTCCTGGTCCTGGTAAACCACCAGTGGGATTGCGAAATTGTTGAGCCGCCGCTGCTATTTGCAATCCTGAACTAGACAAAAAACTGGGACCATAGTTTTGTAGACCGACAGGAGTCGCATTACCCGTTGCCAGACTTTGGTTATGCTGGCCAAATCCTTGCAAACCGTAATGAGTTCCAGTTTGTTGAGTGGCACCACCAGATTGGTAAAAACCCGTTTGTGATCCAGGGAACACATCTAAAAATACATTAAAATAGTAAATAAAATACATTAAATAAAAAGTAACGTGAGCAATATTCATGAATAAAAACGTCATATTTACCGGCAGATGTGGCGCTATAATAACTATTGGCAGATGCTTGAACATTTGGGCCAGGTCTCTGTACTAATTGCGAATTGTTCAAGTAACTACCGCTTACACCAAGCACTTGATTTGGATCGTATGGTATATAAGCCAACTGAAAAAAAAAGAAATAATAATAATAATAATTTGTTAATATTGTTAGATTTATTTTATCTTTACCAGAATAACTTTATAATGAAATCTCACCTGATTAGGTTGAGGAGCGGATTGGGTCTGGAAATGCGGAGCTTTAGTTCCGATAGCTCCGATTGGTTGAGACGATGGTTTGACGCTCGCCGACATCAAAGAATTTGACGATGAGCTGATAAGTACCGTATTAGGATTGTTGCTAAGTTGTTGATTCTGTCCAAACGGGGGAGCAGCTGCCGCAGTCTATTATGAGAAATTCGTAATGAGAAAGATTAATCTATTTCCATTTCAATATCCGTGTAATGAGAACGAGAATAGTTATAAATGAAATGAAATTCACGTACGATGCGGTATTGAGATAAATTGTTTTGATACATTTCCGGTGTGGGGGCATTCGGTGCGTGAGGCGGCGGCGGTGGCGGTTGCTGCAAGTATACGTTTTGTTGGCTAAACGAGCTCTGGAGAGACGGAGCGTACGGCGCGTACTGCGTAAACGGCGATCGGCTTTGATCCAATTGAAATGCTCCGTATAAACCGCCCGCTTGAGCCGGCAATTGTCCTGAGCCTGTGTTAAATAATACTGCCGGTGGCGATGGTATGGCCGACATGCCGCCGTATTGTGCCGCTTGTGAACCAGGATATTGCGGAAACTCCTAAAAAAAAAAAATAAAACCATTTTTTTATTTCTATTCCATTCTGCATATATCATTATTTTCGAAATAATAAATGGGATAAAAACGCAACGTACCTGATAGTTGATGTGCGAGGGCTGGCCTGTAGAATTGAACGGGGGTGGGCTTAGAGGACCTTGAAGACTAACGGGAGGATGGCCGAT